AACGAGAGGAAAGGAGAGAAGGGCAAGAGACTGGTACACGGTAGTCTCAGGCACTTGGGAAGCCCGCTGAGCGTAAAGAGAGAGTGTTCTCCTCTGTTAATCTTCTCAGGGACGGGTTAGTGCTGAGACCGGACCGACCGTGCAGTTGAGCCGACTCCGAAAGCTGACTGAGGTCTCTCCCAAGAGTATTAGTTTCCAGACGCCAATCTGGCACGTGAATTCACCACGCATGATCTTCCTGTACATATGCTACGTTTATAACTTGTACAACTGTAAATAAACTATATATATATATATTCAATTTGAGTGTGGAGGTGTACTTTCCGACGAACCTGATTCACTACATCGAGTCGTGATATACAAGAAACCAACTCAACGAGGCGGAGTTGGGAAGGAACATTCTATAAGATTTTGTCAATAAGATCTTCACTATTTGAACTAGATAAAGTTCTATAGAATTATGTCTTAAGCTATATACTTCGAGTAATATTAAGTTATTTGGCTCGTATAGCTTTATAACTTTTCAATACAATAATTAAATGTCTAAATGATAGACAAGAAGACAATGATGAGTAAGAAAGTAAAAATTATTTTTTTAAAATAGATATGATCAAATAGATACAGACAAGAATAATTAATTGAGAAATTGCTTATGTTCTTAGAATAATAATAGCAATTAAACCTAAAAAAATTTTACTCAGTGAATTCTATGACAGTATAATGAAACAAAGAGAAAATAATATTCAAGACATAGAATTTAAATAAACTTTTTATTTTGAATTAAAACCTGTTATAAAGTAAAGACATAAAGTGAATTGAAATAAATTTCATAATTTTTTCTAAAACAAATAAATGATAAATATTATTAAAAGTTATTAAAGAATTTATTTTGAATTACTAGATAGATGTAATTGAAATAAAATTTGCATACAGTTAAAAATATTTATATAATTTTATTTTTGATTAGGCAGAACACTGTATCGTAGAAAAAGTGGCACGGTTGGTGCCAAATGAACATCAAGATTTATTAAACATAACTCTTCGTCTCCTGCTTAATCTCTCCTTTGATTTAGATTTACGAAATTCAATGGTGAAGATTGGCTTGTTGCCGAAACTTGTAAACTTGATTAGTAAGTTTACACTATATATATATTAAATATAAACTTAGTAATATTAAATATTTAATGTATGTGTAATTTAATTATTAAATAAAACAAATTAACAGCAAAAATTTTGTTATAGTAATAAAGATTGTACTACATGTTTTCTTATGTGTATGTTTTTGAAATAATATTGCCATCATAATTTATTTCCTTATAGATGTTGAAAGACATCAAACTGTTGTTCTATGTATACTAAATCATATTAGTATGGATGATCGATGTAAATCTATGTTTACATATACAGATTGCATTCCAATTGTAAGTATATTGTTTTCTTTATAAAACATTTAACAAACTAAATTTCATCTGTGTAAATAAAAAAGTTGTTATAAATAAAGATTCAGTTCAGTTTAATATAATTTTTTGACATAATTTTTTTATCATTTGAGTAGATTATCTTATTAATAAATTTGAGAAAAATCATGAAAAGTTTTATAAATATTTATATTTATCTACTTCATGATAAAACTTATTTTTAGTAATCTATCAGAATTAGACTTGCATTCACTTACATGAGGCATTTATTCATACAGAATAATTCTTCTGTATAATTCTAGTGGGATATTAATGCAACAGAAGTTTAAATCTGAATGATAAACACGCTGATTCATATTATTCTTAAAAATCTAATAACATCATTCTGTAAAGTGTTAAAAATTCAGATATTAATCAAAAAAAGAGCATTAACTTTTTTATTTATATTGTAATCAGGTATTTTTGTATTCACAATAACTTTATATTACAATAGTTTCAAATAAATTCTTGTGTAAATGTAAAAACAAATTTGATTAAAATAAGAAAAGTTTTAGAAATAAAATAAAATTTTTTTAAATGTAATATAAATGTTTATTTTTATTTATTCTTACATGTAGGTAAGCCATCAAAATGAAAATATACTTATTATGAACAAAAACATATTTTTATTAAACATAAAATGGTAAAAATTGAAGTTTAAATAAGATAACATATTGTATGAAAAAAACATGGACATTTTTATAATACTTATAATTGTATGAGAACCTTTTTTAGGAACTTGTTACATCAAGAAAAAGAAGTGCACAAGAATTAGAGGATACCTATTATTTTTTTAGATATTATTTTAACAGAATTGTATTGCAATATGTTTGAACTTTTAAGCTCTCTAATGTTAACTTAATTAATATATAGAAAGTCTATTTGCATTACTTGAATTAAAAATTGTTGAAAAATTTTTGGACTTTAATAAAAATGATTCTAATGTATCTAACTTTTTANATTCGGTTTATGAACAAAATTTTGAACTCTTTTATGCCCCAGTTGCCATACAATAACTTGGTTGCCAAACAAGCTACTCAGCAGAGCCGGCTGCTGATGGTCAACTTCTTATACTCCTTTGTAACTTCCTCCTTCAAATAGGACATCTATTATATTTACCTCTAAATAGCAGACACTCTAAATAACAGATGCCATTGTCCATAACCTATCTTACAAAAACAGAAAGCCCCACCTTCAATATTCTGAAATAATTAATTATATACAAAATATTTTAAAACTAAAACAAAGAATTAGTTCACCTATGAATTTTGATCATAGGTGGCTAAATAAATAAAGACTGGGTAAATAAAGAATGGCTAAAAATAGGAATAGCAGAGGAGGACAGATTGTAAAAAGCTGAACAATATTCAATATCTGTTAGAGAAGATTAATCTGGTTAAGTTGTCAATCATCATTTATCGTCATACATATTAATATTATTAATAAACTTATGACTTATTGTTGGAATTAAGCTTACAGTACCAAGAAACTATAAACTTTTCCTTAGTTATTTATTTATTTGACAAGAATCTTAGTACAGTAGTAATGAAAAAGAAACAGTTTTAAGGTCAAGACTACAGTATTTATTTGGTGAAAGTTTAAAGATCGTGTTATGAAGGCAATTTGCTGATCACTTTAAATTGTAGGAAGATATTCAGTTTTATTGAATTTATGACATAATTTATGATCTTAACAGCTTTGTGGTGGCTAAAGTAATTTTTAATAACTCATTTATTGGAAAAAAAGAAAAAATGTTTGAAAAATTACTTCTACTCAATAACTACAAAGCAGACAAATTATCATATTGGTTTTTATTAGTTGCTTAGATCATAAATGACATTATAAATGCAAGAATACCAAATACATTTTTTACCCTTTGAAGTGGCTAGCAAATCGCCTTTGTAACTTGACATTCGAATGCTCATCTCCTAAACCCTTTTGTTCATAGTAAGAGTTTCATTTTTCTTTTTTATTACTTTTGCTCAGGTCATTTTTGATGAATTAATAATTAATTAATCAATGCATATCTTAATCCATGAATCAATGTTTACATTTTGCCATAATTTTTATATCCATTTAATTAAAATATCCTATACAATCTGTTTGCTATTTAGAATTCAATTAAAATGTGATTTTTACAGCTGAAAAGATAAATAATATAAAATAATATACTGTATATATATTTTAATTATGTATGCTATGTATACTTTTTGGTAATTTCACATTCCTAATGCAAATTTGATGTTTTTGTAATCCATTGTATTCTTCACTTTATAATGACCAGGTTAAAGTACAATATGGCTGCCGGCACATACCTCTAAATAGTGGAAAAACTTTTTGGTCCTGACAGTGTCCACTATTTGGAGGTTAAAGCATTTCTTTAAAATTTTAAAAATATTTTTTATTTTCTACTTTCTAATTTTATATATATAACCCTGAATTATCAAAATTTTTCTAGGTTTAGCATTTAATTAGGCCTCAAATTCCCACTGTCATCTATCCACCTGTCCTTCCTTAACTTCAAGAATAGTGTTAGATAGATGAAAGTCGAGACCAGATATGGAAAGCCTATGGGCATGAGGTCACAAGACTTCATTTAACATATATTATTCTCTGTGAGATTACATTAAGTTTTGACAAAATGTTTGCAAACTCTACATTTTTTTTTCTTTTTATTGTCATTGGGAATACATACCATATTTACTTGCATATAAGATGACCTCGCATATAAGACGAGGTGTGACTTTAAAGATCGAAATAAAGAAAATTAGATTTATTAATACAATTTTAATTTTATTTTGTTTAATCACAAGTAAAATATCAAATAAACATAAAAGTACACATTATCCTGCAAAAATTACTGGCATTTTAAACTTTAAGGAAAAATCTTGTAAAATCGACGACATAATTTGTTCATGTAAAGCCGGATAATTGGAATCCTTTTTTGCCAATTCTTAACAGTTGAATCCACTCTCCATTGATTACACTTATGAGTTTCTTTGAATTGTGATTTCCGAATAATCGTTTGTTTTCACATGGGAATGGATTAAAACTTATATCATGTTCCTGTGTGATTTTGGGATTTCAATCTGTAATTCAATTCAAAAGCTTTGCTTTTCCTATTGCTATTCATCTTTACTCCTGACAATATACAAGAACGATTCAAACGACCTAGATAAAATACTTATGTTTTTAAATACAAGAGGGTGAGCATCTGGTAAAAATGCAAATACATGGTTTACAAAAATTATTTGCAAACTTGCAAAGAATCTTTGCTCATGCGTATAGGATGACCTAGGAGTTTGAAGCTGTGATAAATGAATAAAAACCTTGTCTTATGTGTGAGTAAATGCGGTATGTATGCAAAGTTTCAACTAGATTGGAAATTGAGAAGTCAGTAAAAATTGAGTTACAAGATTTTATTTAGACAGACACTAAAAAGCATATAATAAAAGCAAAAAAAGTGTACTGTTAGCTTTTGTATTTTAATTATATGATAGGAAAATTTGAAAAAAGACATTATTTTTCTTAATAAATTTATACTTGAAGCTGAAAAAGATAATTTAGCTGCAAAAAAAGATTATGAAAAAAGTATTAAAAAATATCAAAGTTTAGTAAGAAAACAAGATCAGCTTTTAAGAGGTAAGATTTTAATAGAAATAGTTTATGTTAATATTTTTATTTATAATTTTTAATATTTGTATGGAGTTTTTCATTATTATCAATGTTAATTTATTTAATATTTCTTCAATTATTTAAGAATTTTATGCATTAAATAATTTGGATAATTTCCATAAATAAATACAGAGAAACATGCTGAACATAATGTATGTTTGTTATACAAATACGTATTATGTTTAATAACTTTCTTTAAGATAATAATGAAATTCAATTATTAGGATATTAAGTTATTCAGTTCATATACTGTATACGAGGCATATCATTCCAAACTGTCTTATCCTCTTTTTAAAAGTTTTGCTGTCTGATTACTAGTGTAAAGAACTATCATAATAAAATAAAAAGTTTTTGAATAATTTTATTATTCAAAAACTGGCTTATAGCATTCTACTTGTTGGTTTATAAATCAATATTAGGTGTTGTCGAGTTTAAATCTTTAAAAGACTATCGAATACTGAAACTTAAATAAAAGTGGATTAAAAACACTCTTTGGAATGACACACATCATAACATATGCACAATTAATGATCAAATATTTAGATGTATTATCAGTTTAACAAAATTTAAATAAAATTTGAAAAATAAATTAATTATTGCCTATGCTAAATTTGAGAATAAATTTATTTTCAAGTCTTTGATATGCTAGTCTCAATCATATATATATAAAAATTGTGTGTCAATCATACTATCAAATATTTTATTCTTGAAATTACATATTTTATCAGAAGTTTTTATCATCAATATTTCTATTAAATAGCATACATTTTGTGAAAACGAAAATAATATTTTATGTTCATTATTACTGTAATTAGAATGAGAAATCATTAATGCATTTATTATAAAGAATTAATATAGTAAATAATAAATAAAACTCTTATTGTATATGATTAGTAATTTAAATTTTTTGTGTGTTTAGTTTGGCTTTTAACATTTCTATATAATCAGAATTCAACATTTAAGTTCAACCTACTGCCTATTGTTAATTCTTATTAAAAAAACTAGTCACAAATAGTATATTAGGAGTATATAGTTTAATCAACTTATTAATTAATATTGAAACTGATTTAAAAAATAGTTTATTTTGCAATATAAAAATATATTATTTGTATAGATATTTTTCTAAAAATTAGTAAATTTCAAATTGATTGATTATGCTTAAATTTTTTAGTTTCATATTATCTTCTTTTGAACATTGCTGAAGACACAAAAGTGGAGTTGAAAATGGTGAATAAGGGAGTAGTTCCACTGTTGATTCGAAGTTTAGATCGAGATCTTCCCGAATTACTTATTCTTGTTGTCTCTTTTCTGAAAAAACTTTCCATATTTGTAGAAAATAAAAATGAGATGGTAACATATTTTATATCTATTGAATTAGAGTGTACGAAGGCTATTTTTTAAATAAGGTCCATTTATGAATGAGAGTGAGAATAACGTGTGATTACAGTAGTGTGCATGAACATCTGCTCCCAGCTTGCTTTGTGTGCATTTAGATGCCATTTGCAGCCATATCGTCTGTCTGTGTGCTGAGCTGTAGAAGTTTATAAAATTTAAGAAAATTGAGTTGCCTGTGAGATACGATCTGTTATTCGATTTCAACACGAAAGATCACAGCAATTGTCTTTTGGGACAGGAAAGAGATTTTGTTAATGGATTTTATGCCAAGAGGCACAACAATCAATTCTGATACGTATTGTGTGACCTTGAGAAAACTCCGGTGTGCCATACAAAACAAGCAGCATGGCCTACTGTCTTCCGGCAGCAGGCGGTAGATTTCTTTGAAGTTGGAATTCAAAAAGTTGTTTGAACAAAAATGGAAATTATGTAGAAAAGTAGATAAAAATATGTAGAATATGGAAAAAAAACATATTTTAATGATATTTACAGTATTATTTTTCTTATTAAAAAACAGACCTTATTTAAAAAATACCATTCATATTTTAATATAAAGATTTATCTGTTTTATAATGAAGTTTTCGTACAGAAAAATATTTAAATCATTTATAAACAAATAATAAAATACATATTATTCATGAAAAAGTTTTTACTTTATAAATTATTTTATTGTAGACTTATTTTAATAATTTATACTAAACATTATAAAAAAATCCTTAATTATATTTTAAGTTAACATAATCAATAATTTTTATATAAATATTATGATCAACTGTTACATATTGATGTTTTTAACAGATATAGAGGGACAGACTTGTTTTATGTAAATTATTTTCACAAACATGATATGTATAGAAAGAAAGTTATGAATATAATTTAGCTAATATAAGACAAGCAGAATAATATTGACTAAAATCAAAATCCATAAATAAAAAATATATTTTTTTTCTTGTAAAATGTTTGAAAGATTTGAACTAGGTAAATTTCTATAGAATTATATCTTAAGCTATATACTTCGAGTAATATTAAGTTATTTGGCTCGTATAGCTTTATAACTTTTCAATACAATAATTAAATGTCTAAATGATAGACAAGAAGACAATGATGAGTAAGAAAGTAACATAAAATTATTTTTTTAAAATAGATATGATCAAATAGATACAGACAAGAATAATTAATTGAGAAATTGCTTATGTTCTTAGAATAATAATAGCAATTAAACCTAAAAAAATTTTACTCAGTGAATTCTATGACAGTATAATGAAACAAAGAGAAAATAATATTCAAGACATAGAATTTAAATAAACTTTTTATTTTGAATTAAAACCTGTTATAAAGTAAAGACATAAAGTGAATTGAAATAAATTTCATAATTTTTTCTAAAACAAATAAATGATAAATATTATTAAAAGTTATTAAAGAATTTATTTTGAATTACTAGATAAATGTAATTGAAATAAAATTTGCATACAGTTAAAAATATTTATATAATTTTATTTTTGATTAGGCAGAACACTGTATCGTAGAAAAAGTGGCACGGTTGGTGCCAAATGAACATCAAGATTTATTAAACATAACTCTTCGTCTCCTGCTTAATCTCTCCTTTGATTTAGATTTACGAAATTCAATGGTGAAGATTGGCTTGTTGCCGAAACTTGTAAACTTGATTAGTAAGTTTACACTATATATATATTAAATATAAACTTAGTAATATTAAATATTTAATGTATGTGTAATTTAATTATTAAATAAAACAAATTAACAGCAAAAATTTTGTTATAGTAATAAAGATTGTACTACATGTTTTCCTATGTGTATGTTTTTGAAATAATATTGCCATCATAATTTATTTCCTTATAGATGTTGAAAGACATCAAACTGTTGTTCTATGTATACTAAATCATATTAGTATGGATGATCGATGTAAATCTATGTTTACATATACAGATTGCATTCCAATTGTGAGTATATTGTTTTCTTTATAAAACATTTAACAAACTAAATTTCATCTGTGTAAATAAAAAAGTTGTTATAAATAAAGATTCAGTTCAGTTTAATATAATTTTTTGACATAATTTTTTTATCATTTGAGTAGATTATCTTATTAATAAATTTGAGAAAAATCATGAAAAGTTTTATAAATATTTATATTTATCTACTTCATGATAAAACTTATTTTTAGTAATCTATCAGAATTAGACTTGCATTCACTTACATGAGGCATTTATTCATACAGAATAATTCTTCTGTATAATTCTAGTGGGATATTAATGCAACAGAAGTTTAAATCTGAATGATAAACACGCTGATTCATATTATTCTTAAAAATCTAATAACATCATTCTGTAAAGTGTTAAAAATTCAGATATTAATCAAAAAAAGAGCATTAACTTTTTTATTTATATTGTAATCAGGTATTTTTGTATTCACAATAACTTTATATTACAATAGTTTCAAATAAATTCTTGTGTAAATGTAAAAACAAATTTGATTAAAATAAGAAAAGTTTTAGAAATAAAATAAAATTTTTTTAAATGTAATATAAATGTTTATTTTTATTTATTCTTACATGTAGGTAAGCCATCAAAATGAAAATATACTTATTATGAACAAAAACATATTTTTATTAAACATAAAATGGTAAAAATTGAAGTTTAAATAAGATAACATATTGTATGAAAAAAACATGGACATTTTTATAATACTTATAATTGTATGAGAACCTTTTTTAGGAACTTGTTACATCAAGAAAAAGAAGTGCACAAGAATTAGAGGATACCTATTATTTTTTTAGATATTATTTTAACAGAATTGTATTGCAATATGTTTGAACTTTTAAGCTCTCTAATGTTAACTTAATTAATATATAGAAAGTCTATTTGCATTACTTGAATTAAAAATTGTTGAAAAATTTTTGGACTTTAATAAAAATGATTCTAATGTATCTAACTTTTTATTTTATTATAAATACATGAACTTATAATTAATTGTTTTTTAAGGTTATGAAGCATATATTAGAATCTCCAGAAGAAAGAATACTTCTTGAATTAATTGCACTATGTATCAACTTGGCTGCTAATAAGAGAAATGCACAATTAATTTGTGAAGGAAATGGATTAAAGCTTTTAATGAAACGAGCATTTCATTTTCAAGATCCTTTGGTGATGAAAATGATTAGGAATATTTCTCAACATGATGGACCAACAAAAGCTCTCTTTTTAGTGAGTAAATTTTTATTAATTAAATTTATTTTGAAAATGAATACATTTTCTTGTTTTACTCTAAAAGATAAAAATAATTTTGAAATTTTTTAATTCACTTTTATGTGAATAGAACATTATTGATTATATAAAATTTTGTATTTAAACTAAAATATTTACTGAAAATTTATGTAAATAAATACATAAATTTTTATTATCACTATATAAAATTGAAATTGCTTTTAAATCTATCCTTAATAAATTTTTAATGAACACACACAATTTAATCTTTATCAAATTAACAGTGAATTTAAGTGTATATATAGTTATAAAATAAAGTTAGATAAATATATAGATAAATATATAAAATAAATCTGGTTTACTTAAAAGAAAAATATTTTGTTTATTTCAGTTGCAATGTTGTAATTTTATTAAATGCAATTAATAAAATTTCATTCAAAAGTAATAAACTACTGTACCTTTTTAAATTAACATTTAATAAATTTGATAGATAAAATGAATAGTTAATACATTTAATAGTTCTGAATGATAAAACTATATATTCAAATATAGTTTTGATATTTTAAAATGGGTCAGCAACCTTTTTGTTACTAAGGATGCAATAAAAATTTTAAAAACCATTGAGGACACAGCTTAATTTTTGAAAAAAATCACAATGTTGTGATAAATAAACAAAAAATTATGTTTTGAAATATGTATGTGTGACCAAAGGGTCGGCACCACATTGGTGATTCCCATGTCAGTACTGATACCACTGTGTCCTTAGGGAAGACACAGAAACTGCTATGGCCGTTAGGTTATGGCTTCACATGAGTGGATGTATGTGTAGGTGATCAGATTTGGGATGGAGGACATTTAAGATACAGAGTAGAAGAAATGCACTCTACTACAAGTTAAATCAAACAAATACCTGTTTATTTACTCATTAGGTTATACACTTCCAACTATAATAGCAAATCATTTAGAAGTTTTTAATTAAGTGCGAGAGAGAGACAGTTTACTCTTAGGTGTGAGATGGTAAATACCTGTGGTTGTTGGGTTTCCTCGAAGATTGGATGCTTTATAGGTGGAGATGGCTGACTCATTTGATAGTGGGTAGATTTCTTACTTATTGGCAATAAGTAGACAGACTCCTGGTTTGTAGGATGTCAGGTTGCTCAATGTGAGACCTTCTGATGAAAGGTAGGAAGGTAAATGAATATTGTCAGAAAGACTGGTAAATATAGGTTGGCCTAGGTAATGATCAGCGGCAATGACAGTACAGGTGGCAGAGTGTGGCTGAATCCTCTTGAATGTAGAGGCTGGTCGCGAACACTCGATGATGGGTGAACTCTCGTCATCGTTCAATTCTCTCTTTTATTTGGGAGGGTCTTTCCCCTTAGTTCATTTTTCAATTTTTGGAAAAGTTATTAATCTAATAGGCAAATTTCAGTGTTAGGTTCACGATACATAGTCAAAAGTGACACATCTTCTGAATGTGTCACAGTTGTAAGGAAGTGAATCTGGGGTAGAGATACAATCACTTCCTGTGATCTTTATGGAGTGTTGGAAGAAAATATATAATTTTAATGTTTCATGTGTACATTTTAGATGTTATTCTTTGAAAATTCATGTTTTGAATAAAAATTTTCTGTCTAGTCTGCGCTCTCGCATATATTTATACAAATTAAAGATTTGTATAAATACATGCATGTAATAACTAAAAACTGAAAATTAAAAGTTTGTACAAAACAACAAAATCAAATTAAATAAAATTTAAGTATATATATATTTGTGTTTACATGACTATGTTTTAGAGGGTGGATCTGAAATGTGCCACTGGCACCACATTGGCAACCCCTGCTTTAAAACATATATTTGTTAATAACACTGCGGTATTATCAACAAATATATGTTTTAAACACTGCAGTTTAAAAATGCAACAAAAATTATTCACTGGTATCTTCATTGCATATATTGCAACTGTTTTACATTAGATTTCTAGCAAATGTAAAACATTTGCTAGAAATATATTTGCTAGAACAATAAAAAAAATTTGTTATGAATAGCATGTAATTATGTAATATTTTGTTAACTGAGTAAGAAAGATAAATATTAAAATTAGTTTAGGAGTGTAATGCATTAGTGAAATTATTTTGTGGAAATGTCAAAGTTAGACAGAACAGCTGCCAGAAATTTTTTTGAAACTAATATATATATATATATATATATATATATAATTATTCTCAGTAATCTATGAGAATATGGACAAGAAAGGAATTGATTATTTTAAATTGATTTTGTATTGCAATTTCATAAATAAGGTACATAAAACTTTTGATAAAATTTTCATTTGGCTATTTCATACATAAAATTAACTGTTATATTATGAGGTTATCATTAAACATTTTAATATATTACAAAAATTATATTACTTTATAATTATAATTGATTTTTTGATACCTTTGTAATGAATAAAATAAATCAAAGCCATTTAATTGACAAGCTTTGTTCGAAATTATTTTAATATTACATTCACAATCAATAGATCAAACTTGACCATAATTATGCACAGGTATAGTTGTTAATCAAATTGCCTACAATTGATTTAAATATTGAAAAATATTCTGTACAGATTCTGTATGTCAGAGTTTTTGATTGCACTTTCACTTGTTTATTACTGTCCTGAAAGTGATTAGTAAGGCCCTTCTTTGAAAGGCTTATTTTTAGTTTTATCAACAATAGCAATATTTGTTATTTTAAAAGATAATAGAGAAACTGTTAAGCATTTTGTATGAATTTTATTAAAAATAATGTATTTGAGGAACATAATAAAAATATTTTGATTAGTCTAAATTTTGCAGTGTATCACTGAATAAACATTGATAAAAGTTATCTATAAGAACTTGAATTTCATTTTTTTATTGTTTCCTTATTATGTATATGTATAACTTACAAGTTTATTTTCTTATTGTCATATATGTATTTTGGAACTTTAATTCAGATAAAGTTGTTATAATTACTTTCCATTTACAGTCGACCCTCCTATAACACTGTTGATAATTCTGTTTTATATGAATTTCATGTTGTACGAGTCACTTAGATTTTACAAATACGCGTGCTGGGCTGTGAATGGCTCACGTATTTGTAAAATCTAAGTGGCTCGTACAACATGGAATTTGTATAAAACGGAATTATCAACAGTGTTATGAGGGGGGTCGACTGTATTTTTATAGTAAATCACAAATTTTTTTATTTGATATAAACAGTTTGAAGATATACAGCTTTTGAAATTTAAACTTAAAACTTAAATTTGAATGCTTTTGATGCATTTATTTATTTATTATTATTTTGAATAAGATTCAAATTTGAAAACAAGATAAAATGAAATTATTCAAAACCTTACATTTCAAAAGTAAATCTAATTACAACTTATTTCTACAATTAGACTTCAACGGGAAGTCTTAATCTAGAAACAAGTTTAGGGTGATTCTGTCTTGTCTCTCCTGCAAGTTTGATTGTCTATGAGATGTTCTAAGTATTGTTAAGTCAAGTTTTTAACCAAGCTAATACATCATAAAAGAAAGCAGTTGTTCTTGACAGAGGCAAAATATATTATTGTTTTTATGTACGAGAAGTTTTTACGAAAGGAAATTTAAATTATTAAATGTTTTATTTTATTACTGTGCTGTTTAGTTTGTTTTATACTTTATCAAGGAATGAAAATTTCATATATTTTAAAAATTGTTGTTATATTTAATATATTATATTTAAATGAGTATTAAAGTATTATCAATTAATTATAAAATGTAGATTAAACAGAATAATTGAAAATTTGTCTATATTATACTCACAATTTAATAATTTTAATTGATAAATTATTTTTTTAGGATTTTGTTAGTAATCTTGCTGAAGCTATACAAAAAAGTACCAACGATGAATTCGTTTTGGAATGCGTAGGAGTGTTAGGCAACATTACCATTCCTGATCTTGATTATGAAAGATTGATAAAAGAATATAATTTAGTTCCCTGGTTAAAGAACAAATTGATGCCAGGTAAATTATAACTTATGTGTATTTCTAAACTTAATTCAATAAAATGTATGTACATGCACAAAGCTTCAATGAACAGAATAAAACATAAAATATTCATAAAAATTAAAATGTCATATTGTTTTACGTTGTTGCTAATAATTATGTTTATTTTTATCTTTTAATTTATTAATTCAATTTTGTAACCATATTATTTTTATTATAATTTAAATTTCTTGCAAAGTAATTATATATAACTTATAACAAAAAAGCGAAATATTTATAATTTTATGACTAATAATTTAATCATATTTATTTTGTGCTAAGATAATGATAAGTGTGTTGAAATGTTGTTTTAGTTATATTTTTAATTCTGATATAATACTGTATTTCCTTGATTAATCCACATTTTGGGTATCTGAAGTAGAGGTATGTCTTATAATTGATAACATCTTACATTTGTGATCTGAGAAACTATCAGCAGTCATCACAAATAGACAAAGTGATATGTAATGCACTAAGGATAGACATTTTCAGCTGTACTGAAAATGAGTTTTGCCAATAACAAGCATTTAATTAGAATTTTTTTTAATATTTGAATTGTCTACAAGATTATGTGATGCAGTATTAAAACAAAAAAAGCATTGTACATGCAGAAGAGTGTAGAAACAGAGCAAAGAAATTAATCATTTTATGGTATTTGTATTGCTTTTCTAACTTGTTGTTGCTTAACAAAATAAATCAATTTTCCCTTCCATAAAAAAAGTAAAATAAAATAAAACTTAAAATTTAAAAGTTATGATGCATCTTAAAATTAATGCCATGCCATATTACAATCAAAGAAATAAAGTATTAAGATACTGTATATCAGTAATTATATGGTATTCTGTAATTAAAGATATGATTAAGCATAACAAATACAATTTGTTGAGACAGGTTGCACTGTCTTCAGTTACTAATTACTTAAAATATTCCATAAATTTAGAATTCCAAATTATTACTTTCATTCATAAAAGTTCTATTGAAGAAAATTTCCTACTAATTTCCTTCTTATATATATAAATATTAAATTGCAAACATTTTATTTAAATTCTTTAAATTTATTAACTTTTTTTTAAAGTTAAGTATGATTAAAAAATATAAATTTTATTAACATATGGGCCATTTATTTTGAAAGTGAAGTAAGTCTATTTTTTCTTATTTTGAAATATTTAAAGGTTTGCATTTTAGTCAATTCAAAAATATAAATAAAGCATATTAAGTTTGGCAATGTTTTTATGACTTTAGAAATATGTAAGTTGATTACATAGACTTTTATGTGGATATTTAACTCAATATATTCTTTCTGGGTCATAAATGGACTTATATTGCTTTCATAATTATTCAAGTATAAAAGTCATTAAATTTCAATTATGTAAAATTCAATTTCACTTGAAATACATTGTGTTTTATTCTGATTTTGTTTATAAATAATAACAATAAAATAAAATATTTNCCTTATCCAAGATGTAATTAATATGGCAACGGAATATGGTTTCTATTCTCTTTTTTTTATATTTTGTATGACATTTCTGTTTACATGTGCACTAGTTTGTCGATCTGTCAAAGTTTTTTGCATTCTTTTGTGAAAATTAAAATTAATCTAAAAATGAATGTTATGATGATGATGATGATGATAAAATAATAATAAAATTGTTAATAATTAAAAAATAAAGTTCTTAAAATAAATTGTTCATTTGAATTCATTAAATTTTTATATTTTTAAATTTGTTCACAAAGTCTTTTATAAATAATAGTACATATTAATTAACTAATTAATAATTATATATTTTGAACCTAACGTTTTTAGGGTTTCAGAAAAAAATTTTTTTTTGTTAAAATTTTTCTATGAAATCATGCCTAAATATTACGTAAGATGCGGAAGGGGATGGGGGATCAGAGAAAATATTACAGTTTTGTACACGGGTGGGTGGGGGTCTAGAATGGCCAAAATCACTTTTATGTAATTTATGGATGGCCCCTAAGGTTATCATTATTACAAGCTTATCATTAGACACTGCTTTTCATTTAGGCTTGTTATGTGGATTTTTTTTTTCATTTCGTTTATTTCCATTTCATCAAATTATGCTTTTGTTGGTAAAATTCATAGTTTTACTTCTCTCTTGGGCTGTCCATAAATGATGTCCACGCTGGAAGGGGGAATGGGATTAAGACAAGTCGGACAAGGAGGATTGAGCTTCAGTGGACGTCTGGCTTATTTCAATAAATTTTATATAGTTTTTGCATTTTATTATATTTATTTCAAAATTTCTTGTCTGCTAATGATATCTATCATTTATAAAGTGATGGAAAGTTTTAACGAGGGTTGAGTCATGTTGGATATCTGAAGAGTGGAAGGTGTTACAGAAACTTAGACAAGAGGGGGAAAGTAAAAATTTCAAAAATAATACAGACATAATTCATGCTATATATTTCATGCATAATAATAAGCCCATAAGTGCTTAATCAGACTGTGGAAAATGGACTTACACCACTTTTGTAATCAATGGTTATGCAATGTCATTTACTGATGAATTTTTAATTGATCAAAATGTATGGTTTTTTTTAAATACTAAGTGTGAATTGTTTATAAATAAAAAGTTCACACAAAGTTATACATAAATTATGTGATTTTTCAATTTTTTCCAAAAATGGACTTACACCACTTTCAAAATAAACAGTTCATATTATGAATATTTCTGAATATTGCTTACAGCTCAGTAATAAAGTATAAAAATTTCAAAAAAAAATTGATATTCTTTAATGACTAATAAATTTATTCTATAGGAAACTGTGAAGATGATATGGTTCTAGAAGTGGTAATATTAATAGGCACTGTAGTTACAGATGAAGCTTGTGCTCGTCTCTTAGTGAATTCTGGAATTTTGAAGTCTATTATTGATCTTTTGAATGGTAATTTATAAAATTTATTATTATTAATTTATTTTTAAACTAAATTTTATAAAATCCAGTATATTTTTAGCAAAACAAGAGGATGATGAAATAGTACTACAGATTGTCTACGTATTTCATCAAATGACAAAGCATTCTAATATCAGAGATTTGATAATTAAAGATACTCGTATCCTTTCGTTTGTATAAATATAATTTTAAAAGTAATTATATAAATTTTGAAATATTTGAATTTTTTCTTATTATGACTTTTCTAAATTGCAATATAATAGTACTTAAAAATAATTTTTAAATTAAAGCATGAGATTGCTATGGAATTGAAAATATTTGATCCTTGAAAAATTTGAATAGTTATCATTGACTCATCACTCAAATGCAAACAACTTAATAATTTTATTAGAATTATTAAATAATCAAGAAATATAATTTGTGTGTATTTTTTCTTATAAAAATTTATAAAATTATTTAAAAACATACACGCACAGGNCTCTGTAGTCAACTTATTGCTGAAATATTTATAATTTTATGACTAATAATTTAATCATATTTATTTTGTGCTAAGATAATGATAAGTGTGTTGAAATGTTGTTTTAGTTATATTTTTAATTCTGATATAATACTGTATTTCCTTGATTAATCCACATTTTGGGTATCTGAAGTAGAGGTATGTCTTATAATTGATAACATCTTACATTTGTGATCTGAGAAACTATCAGCAGTCATCACAAATAGACAAAGTGATATGTAATGCACTAAGGATAGACATTTTCAGCTGTACTGAAAATGAGTTTTGCCAATAACAAGCATTTAATTAGAATTTTTTTTAATATTTGAATTGTCTACAAGATTATGTGATGCAGTATTAAAACAAAAAAAGCATTGTACATGCAGAAGAGTGTAGAAACAGAGCAAAGAAATTAATCATTTTATGGTATTTGTATTGCTTTTCTAACTTGTTGTTGCTTAACAAAATAAATCAATTTTCCCTTCCATAAAAAAAGTAAAATAAAATAAAACTTAAAATTTAAAAGTTATGATGCATCTTAAAATTAATGCCATGCCATATTACAATCAAAGAAATAAAGTATTAAGATACTGTATATCAGTAATTATATGGTATTCTGTAATTAAAGAGATGATTAAGCATAACAAATACAATTTGTTGAGACAGGTTGCACTGTCTTCAGTTACTAATTACTTAAAATATTCCATAAATTTAGAATTCCAAATTATTACTTTCATTCATAAAAGTTCTATTGAAGAAAATTTCCTACTAATTTCCTTCTTATATATATAAATATTAAATTGCAAACATTTTATTTAAATTCTTTAAATTTATTAACTTTTTTTTAAAGTTAAGTATGATTAAAAAATATAAATTTTATTAACATATGGGCCATTTATTTTGAAAGTGAAGTAAGTCTATTTTTTCTTATTTTGAAATATTTAAAGGTTTGCATTTTAGTCAATTCAAAAATATAAATAAAGCATATTAAGTTTGGCAATGTTTTTATGACTTTAGAAATATGTAAGTTGATTACATAGACTTTTATGTGGATATTTAACTCAATATATTCTTTCTGGGTCATAAATGGACTTACATTGCTTTCATAATTATTCAAGTATAAAAGTCATTAAATTTCAATTATGTAAAATTCAATTTCACTTGAAATACATTGTGTTTTATTCTGATTTTGTTTATAAATAATAACAATAAAATAAAATATTTTTGTTTATTCTCAACATTAAAAATATTTACTTATTGTTAAACTATTTTTTGATAAGTTTATCATTATTATGAGCTCGTCATTAGACACTGCTTTTCATTTAGGCTTGTTATGTGGAATTTTTTTTCATTTCATCTATTTCCATTTCATCAAATTATGCTTTTGTTGGTAAAATTCATAGTTTTACTTCTCTCTTATAACGGGCTGTCCATAAATGATGTCCACACTGGAAGGGGGAATGGGATTAAGACAAGTCGGACAAGGAAGATTGAGCTTCAGTGGACGTCTGGCTTATTTCAATAAATTTTATATAGTTTTTGCATTTTATTATATTTATTTTAAAATTTCTTGTCTGCTAATGATATCTATCATTTATAAAGTGATGGAAAGTTTTAACGAGAGTTGAGTCATGTTGGATATCTGAAAAGTGGAAGGGGTTACAGAAACTTAGACAAGAGGGGAAAGTAAAAATTTCAAAAATAATACAGACATAATTCATGGACAGCCCATAAGTGCTTAATCAGACTGTGGAAAATGGACTTACACCACTTTTGTAATCAATGGCTATGCAATGTCATTTACTGATGAATTTTTAATTGATCAAAATGTATGGTTTTTTAAAATACTAAGTGTGAATTGTTTATAAATAAAAACTTCACACAAAGTTATACATAAATTATGTGATTTTTCAATTTTTTCCAAAAATGGACTTACACCACTTTCAAAATAAACAGTTCATATTATGAATATTTCTGAATATTGCTTACAGCTCAGTAATAAAGTATAAAAATTTCAAAAAATAATTGATATTCTGTAATGACTAATAAATTTATTCTATAGGAAACTGTGAAGATGATATGGTTCTAGAAGTGGTAATATTAATAGGCACTGTAGTTACAGATGAAGCTTGTGCTCGTCTCTTAGTGAATTCTGGAATTTTGAAGTCTATTATTGATCTTTTGAATGGTAATTTATAAAATTTATTATTATTAATTTATTTTTAAACTAAATTTTATAAAATCCAGTATATTTTTAGCAAAACAAGAGGATGATGAAATAGTACTACAGATTGTCTACGTATTTCATCAAATGACAAAGCATTCTAATATCAGAGATTTGATAATTAAAGATACTCGTATCCTTTCGTTTGTATAAATATAATTTTAAAAGTAATTATATAAATTTTGAAATATTTGAATTTTTTCTTATTATGACTTTTCTAAATTGCAATATAATAGTACTTAAAAATAATTTTTAAATTAAAGCATGAGATTGCTATGGAATTGAAAATATTTGATCCTTGAAAAATTTGAATAGTTATCATTGACTCATCACTCAAATGCAAACAACTTAATAATTTTATTAGAATTATTAAATAATCAAGAAATATAATTTGTGTGTATTTTTTCTTATAAAAATTTATAAAATTATTTAAAAACATACATGCACACACACATATATATATAATAAAACACGTATATTTCAATTTTTGTTTTTAGGAAACAGATACATGACTATGCATTTCTTCTTATCTTTCAAAGATAAATAAATTGCACTAATCAAGCAACAGAGTTTGGTCTGTATCCATTCAGCACTATGATAGTGATTGACTTATTTTCTATATTTGTATATTGCAATTTTGTTTTTGTAAAATATATCTTCCTGTCTTTTATTTCCTTTTTGTGTGAGTGATCCATCTAGTATAATTAATACGTAGAATTATTCGTTTTTATAGTTTTTACCATTTAGTACTCTTTAAACAAATATGATCTTTTTATTAATAAATAACCAAAAAAAAGATAGATGTTAAATATTTAATTTAATTACTATTCTTAATAGCTACTTTAAATTTCCTATTATTTAAAGGACTTATCAGACCACAGTTTTCAGTTGGAAAGATTTATTAAACCAATATGTAGTGAATTTTAGTGAACATTCCAACTGAAAATTGTGGTCTGATAAGTCCTTTTAAATAAAGGCAAATTTGAAAGTAGTTATTAAGAATATTAATTATATAAAATACAGTGAAACCTCCATTAAAGGACACCTCACTTAATGGACATTTTTACAATTTACAGACCCTTCAAATAGGACATTTATAATATTTATCTCTAAATAGCAGACACTCTAAATAATGGATTTTGTCATCCATAACCTACCTTATGAAAACGTAAACCCTCCACCTTTAATATTCCAAAAGAATTAATTATGTAAGGAATATTTTAAAATGGAGAATCAATTCAAATACTCTTTCAGATGACAAATCTTGATCATAGGTGTCGAAAAAACTGGCTGAAAATAGGAATAGGAGGTGGGAGATTATAAAAAGTTGAACAATATTTTTTATCTGTTAGAGAAGACTAATCTAGTTAAGTTGTCAATCACCATTTATTGTCATACATATTAATATTATTAAACTTTTTTCTTATGTTGGAATCTAGCTTATGGTACAAGAAACCATAAACTTTTCTGAAGTTATTCATTCATTTATTCATTCATTCAACAAGAACCCTAGTATAGTAGTAATGAAAGAAAAACTTAAAACAGTTACAACAACAACATTTATTTGGTGAAAATTTAGAGGTCATATTGCAAAGCCAATTTACCAGGCACTGTAAAATGTGGAAAGATATTTGGTATTCTCTCATTTATGATCTGAACAGCTTTATAGTGGATAACTACTTGATAACTACAAAGCAGACAAATTCCTGTATTGATTTTTATTAGTCACTTAGATTATAAATGACATTATAAATTAAGAATTCTGAATATATTTCCCACCCCTTGAAGTGGATAGCAAATCGCCTTTGTAACTTAGACATTTCAGTTTTCTTGTTTTAATTGAATCTCGATTTTTATACCTGAAAGGATAAGTAACATACTATATAATATATTGTAATTATGTACGCTATGTATACTTTTTGGTATGTTCACATTCCTAATGCAAATTTGATGCTTTTGTAATCTATCATATTCTTCACTATATGATGACTGGGTTAAGATACAGTATAGCCACCATCATGTAACTTCGGATAGCAGGCATCTCTAAATATCAGGCAAACTTCTTGGTCCCGATGATGTCTGCTGTTCAGAGGTTACATTACATTTAGTTTAATATATTTTTCTTCAGTTTGGAACTTAACAAAGTATAGCAGTTAATTAATTAATTTTTTTCTATGATTTGTTCACTATGTTAAATTATTTTCACAGATAATTTATTTTTAATTGGAAAACTACTAGGAGATTTCACCTCAGCAAAGATCATAGCTGTTAAATTGTCCCTGTCTCTAATATAAGGTAGAAATTAAGGGAAATAAACATGTAGAACTATTGTATTACTTGTAAGGAGGAATGTTTTGCTTTCTCTCAATCTTAATAGAAAAGTAGAAAGAGAAAAAATGAACTTTGTCATTATACAAACACAATTATTATGCAATGAAACACATTTCACTCTTTTATAAACATAACTCTTTTATAAACATAACAGAAGTTATAAAAAAAATTTTTATCAGTATTGGAAGACATTATTTTTCTTTATCTCTCAGTTTTCAATGACAGAAGAACATTTTAGGTATGTCATACTATAACAAAAATAATTGTTACAAAAGAATTAAAATGCCACAGATTAACCAACAAGCTAATAATCATCATTTCTAATGTGTAAACAATATAGTGGAGAAGGACCAATAGATAGATGTTTTCTCATTCTTGAATAGAAGTTCAGCTTAAATAACTGATTTTTGCTTTATTTTCTCTCTTTGGAAAATATATTCTTTATTTCAGTCTTTGTCAAGACATGAATGGCAAAATATTCTTTATAAAAGGTGTTATAGAGATTACTATTCTAATATTGATGATTTGAAATTTTTAGTATAATTATGTACAACTTGGAATGTTTTATTTTCTTGTACAGCTTCCATTTCTGTATTATCTGAAAAAATAGATGAGACCAATTTTATGGTGAGAGTATATAATACATCTTTTTCAACATGACTTCCTTAAAATGACAACTTTGACATCCCTTTCAGTTTACTTGTGATCATCTGCTTGCTCTCTCTGTCCTTTTGAACTTGCCTGTTTTGCTGAGATATTCAATACGTATTGAAGATGTATAAAATTATTTCTGAAAATAATGTGTTTTTTGTAATACATGGGAATTCTTTCTCCACGTAGATCTATTCGTATACTTACCAAATGACTTGTATTTTTGCAGATGGAAACTAGTTTAGATTGGAGGCAATTTTCACAGTTTGTGAGTTTTGAAGATATTAATGAATATTTTTCTATTGATGATCTTATACTTAATTACAACAGAGATTTTTCTCACTGCTGTCAAAGCAACAATATCTTGAGTCAACTACCCAGTCCATAACATACAATAATTAAAGGATAAATAATAATTATTTTATTGTAAAATATATAAATTAATGTTAATTATCTGTGAAACTAAATATATTATCGATAATGTTATGATGTTTTTACTGCATACTGTTTTTGTTTTTATTTTCTGTTAGTTGACATGAGATGCATAATAAGAAACATAGCTGTTTCTATTACATTAATAGAGCTGAGTTCAAAATTGATGCTATCATTTACAACTTTTTGTAATTCAAATGAGTGTTTTTATTTCTTATATTGTAGATCAGACTTATTCATAATGAACTGAGATTGATGATATTGCTCAATATGTGTTGTTTGTAAGTCTTTTAGAAAAAATTTATTTTATCTTAACATTTTCAAAGAAGTTCCAGCATATTTAATTGATTTAATGCATGATAAAAATTTAGAAGTGAGGAAAGTATGTGACAGCACATTAGACATTATAGCTGTAAGTAAAAGTTTTATATATTTATTAATTAATATTATGACCATAATACACATGGCAGTATTTATTTGTGGATACTTTAACTTCTTTATGTATTTTTGTTTGATTTTTATTGCACTAACTTACTGTTATATAGCTTTATCTTTTTATATTTTTAATTTTAAGTTAATTTAGAATGTTTAAACCAAAATGAATGGTTTAAACATTCTAAATGAGAATGTACTCATTTATATTTTATAGTATTAACAGTTATGTTTGTGTTGCATACAAATTACTCCTCATACAGTTACTAAACAATTTTCATTCATAACTTTTTTCAAATAAAACAATCTTTCATTGATTTCATTAAAGTATTTGTGATTATTTATTGCAGGAAGCAAGTCGGGAATGGGCAAAGCGAATACAATTAGAGAAATTCAGATGGCATAATTCTCAATGGCTGGACATGGTTGAATCTCAACAAATAGAAGAAGGAATGGAACTTTATACTGATGATCAATTTGAACCTTACATACAAGACAGTGATTTCTTAGATAGACCAGATTTGTTTTATGGTAAGCTATTCTTTTTATTTCATTTATTTTATGATATCTTTAATTGAGATAACCTTGTAGTCAGATTACATGCAGTTATGTTTTGGTCCATTTTGTACATAATATCAAGTTAACATATTGCTCATATAAATAAATACACCATCATTTTTTGAAATTAAGTAATTTTATTAAAGATATAAAGGATATAAAATTTTTTTTGTTAGTTTATAAGCACAATAAAATCTTCAGAAATGTTGATAGAAGATCAAAACACTTGAATATTTGAATTTTATAAAGTATCAGACTATGGAAACTGATTATAGAAATGATCTGGCATTTTCTGTTGGTTTTTCTCTATGTCTAATAACTCTATGACTTCATTCATTTATTAATATTCACAAAATCAAACCTGCTTGCTTTGAGAAGCAGGATTTGGAATAAATGGAATATAAGATGAATTTTAGGAAATTATTTTCAATCTATTAATATATCAAAATATGGACTTAAAAAATATATTTAAATTATTACAAATATTTTGTATGTAAATAATAAAGAAGATAATTATAGCTTTAAAGTTTCAGTCTCAACATCCAAGCATTTGAAAAAATTTTATTCTTTCTTTAAAGATAACAACTTTTCCAAATGCTTGGCTTCAGATGTAAACAGATATGATACCTCGATGACAGTTGTGCTGCCTTGATGGTCATTCTACAAACTAATGGCAAAAGACTCAAAACATGACAGATCTAAGAATTATCAAATTGTGGAATGTCAGACTGAAAAAGTTTCAACTATAATAATATAACAAATAGCAGTGTAATCAAAATAATAATAATAATAATTTTTTTTAAGGAATTAATTTCAAATCCTTTCTTAACTAAATTTCAAAAATTAAAATTATTTTCTATAAAAAAAAACTGTTCAAGACAGTGGTGTACTTAAGATTTAATCTTAAGGGAGCCTAGTTCAATGAATAAAAAAATTTTAATGCAAATTCAATAAAATTTCCACCATATGTGACTGCTAATTCATAGGTAATATAGAAATAGAACACATGACTCAATATAAATAAATAAACATGAATTTTAATTCAGTTAGAAAATTTATTATTGTTTCTTTTCCTTTTGGATGCCAGGCCCCCTTGGTTCACCTCCTGGATATGACACTGGTTCAAGATATATATATAATTAACAAAATCATTCTTTTTAATTCAACATTATAAATTATAATTTATAATCAAATCTAAAAAAAGATCATTTATTATTGCACTAAAAAGTTTTTAAAATTTTCTCATATATTATTAAATATTTAAAAATTTTGGATATTATTTTTAAATTTTAAACTATAAATTAACTGGTAGATAGGAGAATCTGCTCATTCATGGTATTTATAAACATTGTTATGAATAATTTAATGTTATCAGAATTTAGCATGTTTCAAAAGATTTAAGTTGAATTATAATATACTTATAAAATTTTGCTTAGTATAATTAGTGCTCCAGATAGAGTCATAATTATCTTCAAGCAAAGAAGTACACTGCTGGCCATCCAAAATGCAACACCCTGAAGAAAGCATCCAAATCAAGTAAAATTTGCACCATATGTTTGTGGCTATGAGATGTGCAAATGATTAGCATTTCAGCACAGACGCACATCACGGGTGCCTGTTGTGCCACCTGCAAGCGCTATATAAAGGGAGAATAGAAGACCATTTTGAAGTACTGGAATTGTTCTTTTGTGCAGTTTTTTTGGCATAAGCAGCTTCAGTATGCCATTCAGAAGAAAACGAGTGTCTTTCGAGCACTTTTCTGAGTTCGACAGAGGAAGAATAGTTGCCTATAGAGATTGCAGATTATCCTTCAGAGAAATTGGTGATCATGTTGGACATAACCAAGAAACTGTGATGTGGATCTGTAACCACTGAATGCAGGAGGGAACGACTGATCAACAGGACCGATTTCACCCACCTTGTTGCACCACTGCGCATGATGACAGACATATCGTGCACATGGCAGTGATGGATCACTGTGCCACATCACAAACCACATCACAACAAATTCGGTCTGTTGCGAAACAATCGGTGTCCGCGCATACCATTCGACATCATTTGCAGCAGAGTGGAATGTCCGCAAGGCATCCATTGCTGCGTTTACTATTGAGTCAAAACCACAGACGTTTGCGCCGGCAATGGTACAATGAACAACAGACATGGACAACCAAATGAAATGACATTGTTTTTACTGATGAATCCCACTTCTGCCTGCAACACCACGATGGTTGGATTAGAGTCTGGAGACATTGTGGTGAGAGACTGCTGAACTGTTGCCTTATATATTGCCATACTGGTCCTAGACCCAGTATTATGGTTTGGGGTGGTATTGGATTCCACTCCCGCACCCCCTAGTATGCACTGCTGGTACACTGACCAGCCAAGTGCTATATCTCTGAGGTGTTGGAGCCTGTTGTCCTCCCATACCTTCAGAGTGTGCCAATGGCCACATTCCAACAGGATAATGCATGACTACACATGGCATGCATTGCTCAAGACTTCTTCTTTGCCCATCAGATTGCATTACCGCCTTGGCCTCCTTGTTCTCCTGATCTCTCACCTATAGAAAACATCTGGTCGACGATTGCAGAACGACTGGCCCAGGATACACCGCCCACTGCTACACCAGGTCAACTTTGGCAATATGTGGAAGCAGCATGGAATGCTATAACTCCAACAACATATCCAAAGCCTCTTTGAGTCAATGCTGAGGCATGTAGCAGCGGTTATAGCCAGCAATGGCGGCAACACTCCATATTGATTCCATCATCTTCCTCACTTCACAAAAAGACTGTATTTTCAATCATTTGATAATTGTACAACATGTTATCTCTTAAATAAATTTGGCTGTGATATCTCTGGTTCTTGGTGTTGCATTTTGGATGGCCAGCGATGTATTTTAAAACTGTCTTTGTGATATAATCCTCAACATGTGGCTGATAACATGCTGCCGCTATCAGTTATTATTATCATTTCTTAATGATTAGTGATTACTAATATTAAATGTAATCATTTTAATCATTATTTTCTCACTTTAAAATAGTTTAAATTTCTGGTATTTCTTACTTAATCATTTGCTACCTATTGTTAAAGACTGTACTGCATAAAACAGAGATAAGCAACATTGGATGAATTACTATTAATTAATAATAATAATAATTATAATTAATAAGTCTTCAAGTTATACATTTTTTTTTGTTTTAACATGTCTTTTTTTGATGTCAAATTCAGTAAAACCAGAATTTACACTGATTACAGTCTTATTTTTTAAATTCTACTTAATGTTGATCAGTTATAATTATTTGTTATGCAAGTTTCAAAGTGCTTACAATAAGTAGATTCTACTAAATTACCAGTTTAGAGGAATATACAGTAAAAGTTTGACACATCACCCTCCTATATATTATACCTTGTAAAGTGTCAATAAATACTTGTGAATGGATCTTCTTTATAAATATTAGATAATCTTTCAGTATCTGCAATTCAGTAGATGTTATTATTTTCAATGCAAAATTATGCATCATCAAAGCATGTCTTTCATACTCAAACTTGTTTATAGACCCCAATACTATACATAATTCTTTTGTTTGAGATACTTCAAAGTTCAGTGCAGTTTTCAGAGATAAATAAATAGTGATGCTAAATTGAGGTTTGACTGTATATCAGTTTTTACACGATGAATTTGAACTATCAGAACTTTGAAAATCCATCATAACTTTCTGCAAGCTGAATTAATCCAGTTTGGTGAATGTTGATAATTTTAAGTCCGAAGAATCACGAGTAGGATTCCAAAAATTAATAGTTTGATTTCATTATTAATAATTTTATTTTTATAAATTTCTGTGGCTAAGAATATACTACATGCTTATTTGTCTGTCACCATCATCATTATTAAGTTGCAAATTCAACAGTTCTGTTGTTCTGATAGGTTGTTTTGAGCTATCATTCTGCTAACACTCCTACGTAAATGCAGTATTGACACACTACAATTCAATTTTTAGTTTAACATTTTCTTTAGAATTTCTTGTTTTTTCCACAGAACATAGATTCAAAAATAAAACTGAATTATAAATTTTACAATATTTAATATTGTCAGACAAATGGAAAAACTTGTCTGTGTACAGTATGTGTGTGTAAGTGTAATTATACAGTGTATTGCATAGGTGTTTGTGTGTTGTAAATATATACAGTGATAATGTATAATATATTCTTATTTTAATAAATAAAAAAATTTAATTAGGTGCCCATGACAGTCTTCTCAGTGATGGCAGTCTCTCTCCAGAACTTCTTGAAACTGAATTTATAAGTAATAAAAATACAGAATCTGCAGGAAGACCAAGATCGAGATATAAAAATAGGTAAAAGTTGATTTAAAAAATTCATTCTGTATTTAATCATTTGTTAACTAAATATTAATCTGCAATTGTTTGTGGTTGTGGTGATTTTCCTCACTTGCTAGTTTTTCACAGGCACTTTTCACCAAATTGATTTACTTAACATGAGATCATGAAAACACAACTGTTCTGTCCATTCATCTGTGTGAAAATTTTGGTTAAAAAATTTTTCCTCCTTATCATAAGTATTCAAAAAATCACTGTGGAAAATCTTAATCTTACTCATGTGATTGCATACGGTATTTCTTTATTGCCACATGATTGCAGGCATAAAACTCTGATTTTTATGCATGCAATCATGTGGCAATATGACATCATTTCTGACATCATCAGAAATTATGTCAGATCACCAAATCATGAGGTAATCATGATGTCATGGATGCTTGTCAGCTATGCATGACATAACGATATGTGCTCTGCAAATCATTATGAGCTTGAATGCTTGTCTCCATAAGTTAGCATAGGGCACTATGCCTTTCAACAATTCAAATGTTTATTTTGCATCTGAAATATACAGGTAAATCATTTTCTGGCCTATCTGATAAATATCTCCACTTTCCTGTCATTTATTTCCAGCTGAATTCATTTCATATTAGCCCATACTACTACAGTTTGTAGGGTTTCCTACGGGCGTTCAGTCAAGGGCATTGTTCTGTAAACAAAACAGTATCTTTTAAACTAAACAACCATATGATCATGAAATTTTGCATGTGCAGAGAAGACACATCACAGAATTTTTCAGAATTGTCAAATTTGAGAAAGGCCAATTACATGTAATATAATTACACGTGTAAAACTGTCAGAAAATCACCACCTTATACAAGCAGCTTTGCTGAAAAAACTACAGCTAATTATGGATTAATGATGTGAAACTTAAAATCTATGAGAAGTTTTAATTAACTGTTAATAATAAGGTTGGTTGAAGCTCAAAATAAGAAATCAACACCTTACTAGCATATAGATTAGCACTTTTAGTCTATATAGATTATCCTCAGGTTCTTTGCATTAAAATGGTAATTTTTTAAATGTATTTTATACTGATAAAAATGACCTAAAGATGACTAGATTAGACCTTAAGTGCTAATTTATAATAAACTTATATACTATTATAGCAAGTGCTGCTAATAATTATTAAATTTAATATATGAAATTAAGTGGAAAAAGCTTAAATTTCATAGAGATTTTCATAGAGAGAGAAACTTTTTGTGAAATATCTTGTATTTTAGTATGTATGTATATATGAGTGTAGGATACATTTAATTAATGTTTAACTACATAATATTGGACTAAATTTCCAGAAAAATTTAGTAAATAGTTTGTATTTTATATCATAAAAATTTAAAAACAAATAAGGATATTTTCCAAAATATTATAATCTGTTTTCCATATGTTTTTGTTTGTGTTTTTGTTTTTTTTTTTAATCATAGACCACAAGTCAGTAGTGCCAAGAATCAAATCCAGATAACATGCAGTCAATTGCCTGTGAGTATTGTATTATGGATGCTCATTTTGTAGTCCACTATTTTAAAGATGCACTCGCTTTGTTTAAAACCTTAATCTAGCTGCATGTCGTAATTTCTAAAATGTAAAATCTAAACAAAATTTTAAATATATATAAAATTGACATTACTCGGTTGCACAACTTATTGTAAGAGAATATTTAATAAGTAATTATATTTTAACGAAGAGCACTTAATTCATTGAAATTATAATTTAAATATCTCACATTCACACAGTAGTTTTATAAGAAATTATTGATAATGAAATAATTATAAGTTAAAGAAATTAGATTATTATTAACATAAAATTTGCTTTTTTTCTTGCAGTTATTTTAAATAATTGCATAAAGTAACACATTTTCAATAATTAAATTACGACAATTATTTTTAATAATAATAATAATTATTANAGAACGGCCACCTCTAAACAACGGACACTTCTAAATGGTGGTCGTTTTCAGGAGTAATTATTATTATTATTATTATTTAACATATATTAAGTCCTCATTTTATAAATATTTATTCAACAAATTTTCTATAAAATATTTTAAAATTTCAGAAAAAATAATTAAAAATATTAAAAAATACTAGCTGGCTTATGCGTGTACTGTACATGTACAATGCTTAATTTATTTAAGGTAATCTAAAATATTTATTACTATATTTATTACGTATCTTTAAAATATTTTCTTGATGTTTTTATTGATGCGAGTATTTTGTGATTTATTCGCAGGGGATGGACAAGAGGTATAATTTACATAAAATCTCAAATAGATGGTAAAAAAACAAATATTAGTTTATCTTTATCTTGGTCACTTACTAAAAATTCTGTAGAAAATTCATTTTAAGAAAATGTTTCTTAAAATTGACAAAAAATATAATGCCAGAAATAACTTCTGGATTATATTTTTGTAATTTAAAGTAACAAGATGATTTCAGAGAATTGTAAAAAGAAAAACAATACCATTCCAGTCTAACTCAAGTGCTGTGTGCATCTATATATAGTCCTTTATTATTAACATACTTCCTTGATTCTAAGATGCATCAAGAGTTTTCAATCAGATTTTGAGATTTTGTCCATAGGGGAATAATTTTTAAATCGTTATTATTAAATTTTGTTAAATAACAACAAAATTAAAAAAACAACATAAACACTATGATGCAGAATAAAAAATAATTATTTATTTCATTGCTGTCTCAAATATTTAATGAATCATCAAATACCTGATGCTGAGAAACATTTATTTAACAATAGAGAGGTTTGTGGCTGAAGTTCAAATGTTAAACTTGTATGGCAAGCAGAAGTACACGTTTGACATTTGAACTTCAAGTAAAACATGTTGCGCCATTCACGTTGTGCACTGACTCATGAGATATTGTTGAAAAATGGCAAAAACATTTAACAATGACGAATGTTACCAGCAAAGGTAAATAAACAAATTAAACTATTTTAAAGTATTTATAGGATGTTTAATAACACTAAATAATTATTTTTAATTAGCGTCGCGTCTCCTACCATACAATAGGACTACCTCATATTTTTGTTGAGGGAAGTAGTGGTTTATGTAAATCTGAAAGCAGCTCAGGAAATTATTTAAAAAAAATTTACAAACATATTACATTGTTGGTGGTAGATGATGCTGTTTGTTTAGTTAGTTATGGCAATGCAACACTTGGGCAATCTGCCTAGGGAGGATGCCTTCTGGGTGGTCTTTTTAAGGAAAACTGGCCCCTATTTAGGTGTTACAGATGTGGAGAAAACCCAGAAAACTCCACGTGGCCAGCCCATCCAAACTCCCAGTGTTCAGGGAACGAAGACTGCTTGGCCACTGGTGGGCCTAGAAGATGCTGTGAAAGAACAAACCTACTCCTACAGAATTATGATAAGCTGTTGCTGTCATGAACACAAATATATGTAAATTCTATAGGCACTTCACATCACTTGCATCACTTGCAAAAGAATTGAATAATTAAATAATTTCTGGATTAAAATCATCTGTTTCTTTACAATAATAGTCATTATTTTAATAAAATACATCGTAATTTTTAACTCCAAACACAAAAAAAATGAAGAAGTACTGTATAAGCCAAACATCTACTCGCCATGCTAGACGTAGCAAACGCCATTGTCAACCTTCTAAACTTGCCAGATTGCGGCACTCAACATCCAAAGTTTTCACGATAAAAACATTGGCCACAACCTATCTAAACATTAACATTTTCAACCCAATACAATAGGCCATCTTCAGACATCTCAAATATTAAAAAGAAAGTTAATTTAATTAATTGCTCATTGCCAACAAAGTTCATTTGAACCAATTTGAGCATTGGATAATATATCCAGAAATCTCTATTATTGGTTGTTTGATGATAACAATACCTGATGGTTGTTTTTGACTGATGGCTAGATGGCTAAGCAGTTAAGGAGACAACCACCACTCTTGGAGATCCGGGATCAAATCTGGACAGGTTGAAAACCCAGGAATTTTTGGGGGTGATCAGTCTGGATATGTTGGATATTTTAATAGGTCTATATTTCATATTCATACATTTCTAGTTATTGTATTGAAATCATCAGTGTAAATTACTATATGTTTTGTTTGATGATAACATTCAAGAAATACATTCTTTTCATAAAATGAGGACTTAACACATATTACATATATCAATATTTACTATTAATTCTAACAATTTTATCTTTAAAAGGGTATCCTTAATGCTTATTACATATATATATATATATATATACTAATAAGCATTAAGCATATATATATATACTTATTATAAATTTTAAAGATATATCAATATAATCATTATATATATCAATATAAATATATTTACCAAAACTAAATTTGTACTTGAAATATTAGCATGCATAAGTAAATAGAATCTGTTTAACAGTTAACATATAGGTAAGAAAATAGTTATGAATCATTTTTAGAATAAAATGTACTAATTGGATCATAGAAAATAACAAAATTTGGTAATATTTATACACAAATAAATAAATGAGAGCGTCTTAGTACTGTGTCATTGACTCATTATATTCTTTTGCATTTTTTTAAGTATACTGAAAAAGGTCATGTAATTCACTGAAAAAGTTCTATTAAAGACTAGCAGATATACCCAGTGCTGCCCATGCTAAAGTATTAAAACTTTTAATATAGTTTTAATTTTAGTGTTTGTCCTTATTACTGTTTTGACCAGATAGTTCTGAGTATCTGCTAGTAATTTCCTAAAAATAGACAGAAAAGGAAATTCAAAGAGCCAACATCTGTTCTTAGGAAAAGTCCAAGGGAAAAAAATTACTGTTATCTTTAAGAAAGATAGACAATAGCAAATCCACAAATGGAAACACCAAATTGGTCTAAAACCTATACTAATTTTGTTACAACATATTGAATAATTGCTTTCATTGCAGTGTTAGCAAATTTTGTCATTTGCTGCAATTTTCAAAAATTGTAG